ACCTCTTCCCAACTCTCTTGTCCGTTCTTACTGCCACTGCTCTGCACAACTCTAGGGGGTGCTATTTGCCGTATATAATATATAATGCCCCAGTGCAATGTCACCGGAGCCCTGTCCACTCCCCTGAGCCTCCTTTCCATCTGAGGAGGAAACATCCAGCTTGATGACTGCTTGTCCATCCCTGTCCCCCAGCCCACCCAAGGGCCCACAGACCCCTCCACATATTGCCACCCTTCTGCTCCCAATCCCAACCCCTTGGCCCAGCAGCAGCTTCTTGGGCCAAGGCTTCCTTAGGCCCACTCGTTTTTTCCCATGTGCCATGAGGGGAAGCATCTTTGGAGAGTCTTTGGCATCTCTGCAGGGCCTCAGGGCACAGTGAAGCTGCCGGCCACACAAGATGGGTGTTGGACCAGCCGATGTCAGGGATTGGTGGGTTAACTCTGGCTCCACTGGAGAGTGCCCCCAAAGCTCCGGATGCTTTGCTGCCTTCAATGGGTTACCAAAGCAGGCTGGTAACTTCTGCCCTGGTCCCAGGGACTTTTCCAGGCTGAGTCCTGACTTCCAGACAGGGACTAGGGATCCATGGGATTAGAGACGCCAGGAGATTGCCCTTCCTTGCTGAACTCTGCCCAAAGCCACTTCTGCCTTATGTTTTTTTTCCAAATGAACCACAGGATCAGGACCCTCTTCCTCCTCCCCACCCTCCCAAATCTTCTACCAACCCCAAGTGGATCTGAAGGACACTGATTCTGCAGCTTTACATCTCCCTCCAGGCATGCCCCTTATCTGCTGTCCAGCCCTCCAAGAAGTGAAGCCCATCAGTCCTCTGAAGTTTTATAGGGGCTCTCACGGTGCCAGGTCCAGTTCCTGAAAGGCCCTGGAGACCAAAGGTATAACTCTACATTTAAATGAAAACAGGGTTCAGTTCAGAAACGAAGTGGCTTTCTAAGAGCCTCAGCCAAGGAAGGTGGCCTGCCAGAGGAAAGTTATGGTCTGGTAAGTTGTTCCCAACCTCATCCTTCCATCTGTATGCCTGTACTTTGGCCTAGGCATATGCCCACCCCCATTACCCCCTCATATGGGCCAGGGCAACAGACCATCATTCCAGGAGGGAACACTTTGGTATAAGTTATCCCAAGGAACTCTCTTTTTAAAAATATTTTATTTATTTATTTTTAAAGAGCGGGGAAAGGAGGGAGAAAGGGAGAGAAACATCGATATGCGAGATACATCAATCAGTTGCCTCTCGAGTACCCCCAGGCGGAGACCTGGCCTGCAACCCAGGCCTGTGCCCTGACTGGGAATTGAACGGGTGACCTTTTGGTTCACAGGCCAGCACTCAAACCACTGAGCCACACCAGCCAGGGCCCAAGGAATTCTTTTATTTTGCAGCTACTCAACAATCTCTTTCAAACAAACCTCTGTATGATGCCCAGCCACAACCTGGGACTTAGAGCTTTCTGCCTATCACTGGATCTAGCTTGTCATATAAACCCCACAGAAGCAAACCTGAGGTTATTGAACATATGAACAGAGGACTAATTGGTGGCTGGATAGACATGATTATAGGGGGCTTTTCAACTTTACAGGTGGGAAGGTTCCTTTTAAACTTTTCTCCTGGTTTTTGAATATGCTTCCCATTCTGAAAGTCTGATTGATAGGTGACTTTTCTAGCGTGTGTCTATGACAGAGGTAAGGGCCATGACCACAGAAGCTGTGGCAGTGTGGCATTTTGTTCTGGCCATGGGTTTGAATAGACTTTGTTGAGGCCAAGGGGTTCAAGAAGGAGGAAGCAACCTTGTCTCCAAAGAATCTGGGGTGATCTGCAGAACACAAGCCATCAGGCACTACTTAAAGAGGGGACAAAGAGGGGCTGAGAAAGTTGCCAAGGTGGAATGGCAAGTTGAGCAGAGAAGTGGGGAGGTTTCCCTACACAGCCTATGGGCAGCCAGGAGGCTTCTCCACTCCTGGAATGATCCAGGTTCTGAGGTCTGAGAGGACCCAGTAGGGGGTGAAGAATGAGGGAAAAACAGGGCTGGAACAAGACCGGCTGAGAGTGCACACTGGATGGTGTAGCCTGGGCATCCACGGGCAACTCGAGAAGGGGAATTCCTGCCAAGTCAGGGAATGAGCCATTGGCAGAGACAGCATGGCTGTCATCAGGGATGGTGATCTCAGCCGGCTGGCCCCACCTGGCTGGGGCTCACCCGTCGGGTAAGTGGAAGAGCAGGGAGCCAGGTGGGGAAGGGCTGGCAGGCTGCAGAGCAGCAAGGTCATCAGGGAGGGCAGCCTGGCTGACCTGGAGCCACGGAGTCAGGAAGGTCATTCAGGTGGCCCATGGCTCCCCAAGGTGAGGTTGGCACAAGATTTTCATCAAAGGGGTAGGGTTTGCTTTGGCTGCAACTCCCAGGTCATGGGGCTGTGGTTACTTCTGAGTGTCCAAGGAAGGTGGGAACTTATGGGATTCCCACAAGTCCTGGGCCCCAGGTCACTGGCAGGCATTAGGGCCAGTCACTATAAGTTGGCCAGGGCAGTGTTGTCCTCCCTCCCCACCCTTCTCAGGAAGAAGATCTCTCTGCTCTGGCTCTTCTGTGTCTTACAACTTCAGCCTTGGTTTAACTGCACTCACAGGAGGGATCCACCATTGGTCCTTCAAAGCTTCTGGCCTGGCTCTGTCAGACCTCCCACCCCTCCCGTCTGGGAGCTGCATAGAGAAAAATCAAAATGATGGTGAAGATGACACTGAAGGTAGCTACCATTTATTGAGGGCTTACTAGGCACTGGACACTGCCATAGACAAAAGTTACCTCATTCAGTCCTCACTACAGCCTTGTGAAGTAGGTTCTTATTATTGCCAATTTAAAAATAAGGCAAGTGCCTTGGTTGGTGTGGCTTGGTGGATCGAGCTAAGACTGAGAACCAAAGGGTCACCAGTTCGATTCCCAGTCAGGGCACATGCCTGGGTTGCCAGCCAGGTCCCTAGTAGATGTTGCTCAAGAGGCAACCACATTGATGTTTCTCCCCCTCTCTTTCTCCCTCCCTTCCCCTCTTTAAAAATAAATAAATACAATCTTTACAAAATAAAGAAAGTGAGGCCTAGAGAATTTAAATGACTTGCCCGAGGACACAGCCCAAAGACACATAGCTGAAAGAGGAACCCAGGTCTGTCCGTTGTTAGAGACCACTGAATTCTTAGCAAAATGGGAAAAGTGTGTGTGTGTGTGTGTGTGTGTGTGTGTGTGTGTCCATTAGTCAGTTTCAAGGTCAAGATAAAGGGGACTTAGGAGACAGCTGGTACCTATCACAATTTTGATAACAGAACCTCATGGACAAGAGACTAGCAGAAAACTGTGTGTTTCCAGGATTCAAAATTCCCTGGGGAAAGTGTGCCCACTTAAAAAATTAAAAAGTGGAAATTTGCTCTTCGTGATTATTTCAGGCAGGGACTTGGCCATAGGTAGACAAAAGGTCTGTCTCAAGGGCCAGTGCCTCATTGCAGCACCTAGGGCTTTCCCTGGAAACCTGTAATCTGCAGCTGCCTTCTCAGGCTTCACCCACCACCACTCCTGTCCCTCAGTCCTGTGCCAAAGACCATCTTTTCCCAAGCCTGGTGGAAAAGGCAGATGCTGGTGGCTGAGCAAGTCCTTGAATCTCAGGCCTTTTGACCACCCCTGCCCCTCAGAGGGCTCTCCTACCTCTGGGGCCCTTTCAGCCTTGCTGCTTTCTGCCAAGGAGATGCCAGGGATGAGGCTCTGTTGGCACCCTCTTCCAGGCCATGTAGAGCCATAAGAAGGGACAGTTCCCAGAACCTCCCTCTCTGAGCATCCTAGCTGTAAGACTAGGTGGGAAGGCTTGTGTGGAGACTGAGGCAGATCAAAAAAGAGGATAAGGGGGAAAGAGAAGAAAATGGAACTCAAGTGGATGCTTCAAGCAGAGCAGCCTGGCTTTGGATAGAAAGGGGCATGAGCTTTCTCCCAGCCCCCCAACTCTGGCAGTCTTTGTACCTGCTATGGCAGCCCAGCCTCTCTCCTCTGTCTTTCCCCAATTCATATCCTTCGGACTTCTTCCACCAAGAGCCCTAGGCTCGACTTCCCTCAGGAATCCCCCAAACTCTCCAGTCACCCCAAGCACACCATGCGTTTGGCTGGGGATCCTGCAGTGTTTGGGATTTGTTCCTCAATAGTATTTCTGGGCATCTTCTGGCCCCACACACCCGTGCAGCCCACGCTCCCGCCAGGTTCGCACACAGCAGGCGTTCAATTATCTAGAGTTCAGGTCTCGGACCAAAGGCGTCGAGCAAGTGGACTATACAGGCCAAGAGGCTGCATAGCACCATCCAGATTCCCCTGAGAATGGAGTTCTCTTCACTGGGGGCTTCCCGCTGGGGCCAGGGCGGAGCTCGAGCTATGCCCTCTGTGGGAGCTATGCCCACGTCGTACCCTGGGGGCAAGCGAACGGGGAGGGTAAGGAGAGGCCGCGCGGGCCCCTGGCGCGGCTCCCTTTGCTTTGCTGGCGACAGCGGCGGGCTGGGGGTGGAGGGGCGCTGTTTCCACCATGACGCCTCCTCCCTCCCTTACCCCGCCCGCCGCGGTCCCTCCCGTCGGTCCCTCCCTCCGGCTCTTCCCTCCCTCCCACCCAGCCTCCTTCGCGCCCGCCCCAGCCGCCGCCTGAGGGGACGTGTGTGGCTCTGGTGCAATTTCCCCTTTCGCTCGGTCGTCTCAGCGCAGGTCTCCGCTGGCTCGCGCCCCCACCCCGGGCGCCCCCACCGCCCCGGCCGCCCCCACTGCTCCGGCCCCCCGCTTGGGCTCTTCTGCTTCCACCCCGCCCCGCGGAGTCGTTTTTTCAGGGGCGCCGCGGGTTCACCTGGTATTTGCATCTCGCCCTCTAACTTGCCATTGGCGGCGCGACGTGTGGGAGAGCCTTACGCCTCGCCCGCCCGGACCGGCCTGCCCCCGCGTTGAGGTGAGTCACGGGCGCAGGGCCGCGGGGGCAGGCGGGCAGGGAGGAGAGGACGGGAGGAAGGAGGGAGGCGGACGCTGGCCCCAGCGGCCGCGGGGACCGACCGGGCGCTGCGCTCAACTTCCACTTCTCCTTTCGCCGGCGCCGAAATCCCGGCGCCACTTGCCGGGTCCGGCTTCTCAAGGGAGAAGGCGGGCTGGCAGGGCTGGGGACCCGCGCGGCTCGGCCCCCAGAGCGGGGAGGGGATTGCAAGGCGATCGATCGATCACAGCTTGGCGACCGAGCCCATTTCTCCACAGGTACGTCGATGGCGCCGGTTCTTCGAGCCTTCGGAGACCTCGAAAAGTTTGTCCGAGGGCGGGATTGGGAGCCTCGGGGCCCCAGAGTGTAAGGGTTGGGGGCCCAGGGAAGGGGAGTAGACTGTGGCGTGTTGAGTCCCGCCCTTGCCTCGCCCCACCGCGTGTGTGCTGTGGATCCCGGACTCGTTGATCCCGGGTTAGAAGCGGAGTCGATTTTCTGAGTCGGGGTAGGGGGTCATTTTTCGCGCGCCCCGGGCAGCCCGCATTCCAAGACAAGACCGGTCGCAACAACAGTCCCTCAAAAGCTGGGTTCCCGAGGGCAGGAGGTTGGATTGGTCCGTGGAGGGGTTGTTAGATTCATCCAGCGGCCCGCAGGGCTTCTCGGGCCAGGCGCCTCAGGGTAAAACCCACACACACACTTGAATAATTGGATCGCCAAAATAGAGACCTCTTGGCGGGGCGGAGGTGGGGGGGGTGGCGCCGGAGTTTGCGTGTGAGCCAGCCGGCAGCCTTCCCTCTCCCGCGTTCCCGCTCTCCCGAGTTCTCCCGCCTCTCGGTTCCTTCTTCTGCTGCCGGCAAGGGGAGTCCGTAGCCACACAGCGCGGGATCCCTTGCCCACAATGCCGTCCTTTTGGACACTGCTCAGGCGGTAGTGGCGTTATGAATTCCTGGTCTCTCCACCGCACCCTAACTCAGCCGCGCTTACCTCACGACTGTGTGCAGGGACAGTGCCGTTCTGACCAGAATCACCTCCTGAACCCTTGGCACCTGGCTCAGCCAAGTTTTCTCTGGCTGCTTCCACCACCACCACACCCCAACTGTGGGGTTTGATGGCATTTTGATTCTTAGCCCCCATCCCTCTGCCCAAGATTGAGCCCTGTCTGGTCCTGCAGCTTCTTCTGGTTAATGTTTGACAGTTCATTGTGGCTAATCATTTTAATTAGCTCTTAAAATGGGGAGGAACAGTTAACCTTGGACTTCTCGATTTTTTGCCTGGTGGGGCCTCAAATGGGAGGAGTGCTGGGGAGGTGGGGAGGCAGGAGCGGAAGTGAGGTCACCACCCCAGGGCCTGAGCCACCACTGCTGGGCCCCAACAGCTGGCGGGAACGCCCATCGGGGACTCACCCCCTTAGAGATGACCCTAGGCCAGAGTGCCAGGTGGGAGGGGGATGAAGGGAACAGATCTAGCTCTCCCAGTGAAAATGCCCCCGGAACACCATGCCCGGCAAAAATGCAAATCCCTCCTCACAGCTACTTACACAGGGTTTGGTCGGTTATAAGGTGCTTTCTACCATTAATTCAGTGGACCCAGAGCATAAATAGCCTTCCGGGGAGTTATGCTGAGTTAAGTGAAGGACTGAGCTATCCTGAAGACTTCGTACAGGGTGGTTTGGGGAAGAAGCTGCCTTGCTTGTGGTCGTCTCTGAGCCTGAGTTCAAAGGCTGGGATTTCTGGTGGGGGGTGCGTTGAGCAGGCTCCACGTTGCCACCCTCACCCAGCCTCCACTGTGAGCCTAAGGAGTGGCTTGTTTGCAATTTGCAACTATGTCTGGCATTCCTCCCACTGCTACACTGTTTGCTCGGTGGTTGCTCAGGAACTGGCGCCCACCCCTGGACAAGCTGGAGGCCCAAAACCCACCCTCCTCCTGCCTAGGACTAAGAGGTGGACAGTGGCTTCTGTCTCCTCTCTCCTGTACTGGAATCTAAAAGTGAGGGTGCTGTGTGGTCTGTCAGTCATGGGCTTAATTAAAATGATGTGAAAAATGCCCCAACTTGCAAAATTTAGTGCTTTTGTCCCCCAAAGCTCCAGCTAGATGCAGGCTGAGGGGGGACTGCCCGCCCCCCGCAGAGAAATCCTCTCTCCTAAGCTTGGCCTTGGTCCTCACCCCTCCCCCAAAACTTTTTCATTTTCCCTCCAATTCCTAAAACTAGGCCATCCGGGTCTAAATCTAACTTTCTTATTTACTAGCCATGTGATCGCAGTCAGTTATATGTCTCAGTTTCCTCATCTGTTTAATGGGATCCACCTCATAAGGTTGTGCTGATTATCAGAGCAGTCTGTGACACACAGTAAGCACAGACTAGCATAGTGATACTGCCTGACACAGTGCCAAAAGCTCAGATTCAACTCAGCAAGCATTTGTTGAGATCCATTCCCAGGACCAGGCACCAATGGCAGTGAGGAAAAGGTGGTGAAGAGGACACCATCCACCATTGGGGTAGGGGATGTAGGAGGGGTGGGAAGAGTGGCTGGGTCATCTATATAAATAACCATAAGTCAAAACCAGTCTGGAATCCTTGAGCCAGTGCACGGAGCTAGGTACCCCCTTGCCTGGGAACGCTGGCTGAGTTCTGGTCTGGATGCCTCCCTTCCCCCGCCTACACAGAGAGGCCTGTCCTGGGATTTGGGTGAATTACAGAGAAAGAGAGACCTGGTTCTTTGGGGGGCTGGCTGCAGGTGGCAAGCGTTCAGTGGCATCATTTGTTGGGTTCCAAGGCAGGCTGCCATTACTTAAGGTTACTCTCAGACACCCCTCTAGCCCTAGGAGTGGCAGGACCGATTCTTGCCATGTCTCTTGCACCTCTGGGAGGTTCCGCGATAAACTGGGAAGGGTCTTAGGCAGCCTCCTCGCCTCAGACTTGGGCCTGACCCCAAATCGGGCTTGGTTATCTCTCTGGGATTTCTAAACTGCAAAGAGGTTTCTGGCTTCACTGCCAATTTATTCCCTTTGTGGTTCACAGACTGAAAACTAGTTCTGCAGGGGAGAAAGGAAACTCATCTGTGGTACCCAGAATCCCATGGGCGCTTTCCTAGGGGTCAGGGGCTTTCTCATCAACACCAACCCGCTTGCAGATCTCTAGCCGCTGAGCCTTAAGTGTCTTATAATCTCAGCCCTGCCGCTAATGCCCTATAGCCGGGGCCCCAGCGCTGGTTGCCAAGGAACTGCTTGTCGGGGAGCTTATGAGGGTTCTGACCTCATAGGGGCTGCTGAGTTTTGATTCAACAGACATTTATTAACACCTACTGTGTGCCCAACCTGTGCTAGGTGCTATGGGGGAGGTGTGGAAGGAGGCAGTGGGGGAGAGATGACTAGGACACTGAAACAATCAGAGGCTAGGACAAATAGCCAGGCCTGTGGCTGGTCAGGTGCTAATTGTGCTCCTTGGAGCTGGGGGGCCAGAGGCAGCCAGAGCTCTGAGGTCAGCAGCAAGCTGGAGGAGGGAGGGAAGGCTTTGTGAGGCATGGGCCTCAGGCTACAGTTTGAAGGGGGGGTGGGGCAGCGCAGGGGAGATTTGACTAGGCAGAAAGGGGGGAAAAGACACCTTCTTGTTTCTTCCCTGGCCAAAGACTGACCTTGGAAGCCTGGATCATTGGCAAATGTGTGTCACATAAAAGACCAGGTCAGCAAGTGTGGGTGGCTCAGTGCAGTCCCCAGTCTCCATTCTATGAGGTATAAAGTGGCCGGCCCAAATCAGGAGCCCAGCCTGTATTGATGAGACACAAAAGATGGCCAGGCTTCCCTGCCACCCAAGCTGAGAGGATTTCATTTTGACACCCCCAACCCCCAACACACACAGAGGCCCTGGTTGAGAAGAGAGGAAAAGAGAGATGGGGGCACCAAAAGAACAGGAAAAGTGACATGCCACAGGTGTTTATGGCAGGAACAGGCTGGTTGGGTCCCACCTTCTCTAGGCTTCAGGGAGTTCTCTGGAAGCCCAGGAGTTCAGGTGGAGGGCAAAGATTTTCATTTTATTATTCATCTGGGAACCAAAGGGTCCAGCGATTCCCACATGTCTCTACCCAGACCACTTGGCAAGGGCAAGTACTAGCCATGTATTTGTTCTGCTGCTTTTGTGTCTCCCTTGGCTGAAGGGAACTTTGCCCTTGTTGGGTTTAACTGGATATAAACACCGGGACACATGCACGCCCCCCACACATCACTTTTCCTCTCTCACTGCCCTCTTGTTCTGCCCCCTCCCCAGCACATTGCAACACCATAGGGGATACCAGAATGTCCTGACTTCTTGGATAGAAAATTGTGTCCTAAGGTGAGTTTCTTTGCAAAGAAATCGCAACCTGATCCCAGGGTAAGGAAGAGGGTCGGGCAGGAAAGAAAGGTATTTCATGGCGGGGGGTGGGGGGGGGGAGGTCTGCAAGGGAAAGTGCCACATTTCTCAGACAGGTGAAAAAGAAGCAAGAGGCTAAGCAGCTTTCCCAGGTTGAGCAAACTTTTTCTTAGGTTCCCACCTTGACAGATCATCTTTTTCCAGTGCTGGCACTTCCTCTTCTAGTCTAACCTGAATTCCTCTCAAGAGCATATTGTCTCAAGGCTGGGAAGAGCACAGGCTCTGTGCCTTCATAAGCCAGAGTTACCACTTACCTACCAGTGACGGGGCTCCTCGCTTAACCATTCTGGATTTCAGTGCCCACTTCACAGGGTCAGAGTCAAAATTAAAGGAGATAATGCTTGTAACACACTCAGCATGGTGTCTGGCACATAGTAACTACCCAATAAATGCTAGCTCTCATTTCTGTAGCTGGTTGTTGTTGTTGTTGTTGTTGTTGTTGTTGTTGTTTCCCCTTCACATACCCTTGACTTTGCCAGCTACCAGAGATCAGCTGCTTCTCCGGCATTGCTGGCAGGGTATGTCATATCCATTCCTAAAACCAAGAGGAAAGTTTTCCAGATCTTTCCACTAAGTTTGTATTGATGCTTCCACCACACAGAACAAGGAAGGGATGTGGAAGAAAGTTGTCTGTGTGCATGTGTGTGCATGCGTGTAGAGTGAAACTTGTTTTTAATATTTTTATTAACATTGCCATCTGTCTCTTCACCACTTTTATCTTATCATTTGCAGTAGGAATCAGAGTAAGTTCCTTTGAGAACAGACCTCACATTCCACCCCTAGCTAGTATTTAGCAATCATCAGTTTGTTGTTCTTACGCTACAGAATTCTGGGAGCCAACTGGTCAACACTGCTCACTTTCTCCTTCCTTTT